GTGGGTTATACTACAGCAAATAATGTAGAGTACTTTTCTGGATGACAATATCCGAAACATGGATGTCAGGATGTCACGGTTATACACTTTTGAAATAATTTAATATTAAAAACTATTCACGTGATAGATTTTTCGGTGGATAAACTGGCAGCACTGAGTTTCAGAAGATAAATACTGAGGAAGACTATATGAAGTTTGATGATCGCCATAATGATCCCACTGGGGAATATTCTTTTGTACAATGTGCGAACAAGAAAGTATCGTCATACAATCCCGGGGTTCGCATCGCACAAAGAAACAGGATATTTGCAAATGAGATCACTATGGCGACCATAAAACTTCCCCATCATTTTCATCAAACTGCATCTTTTGAATCTCTTTGTTACAAGTTTGTCTGTCAGTTGACAACTTCTTGAACGAAAACCATGACCATGGGAACAGGCCCTTGAATATCGAATTAAATGCGGCATGTAAACACGATATGTTGTGGATGCAGGAATGTTGATATCCAGAAATTGAAAATTCACACTTAGGAAATTTATCATACAGCTTGTTGGAAAGCTGGCCACTGACTGGTACACGTCACCAATGTTCGTTGTGTTGATGACAATGCGACTGACGTAACCATGGCAACAACATCTTGGCTGACATGATTTACGTTTTCATATGATGCCGAATAAGAAAGAATCTTATAGGAACGATTTCTACAACGTCCTTTGATTCCGTTGTTATGAATGAAAACTTTAAATAGCATTATAATTCTTATGATGATGATGACGATGATGATGATGATGATGATCAGATTAACATGCAAGTTATCTCCTCCTGAAATTAAAAACGGCCTAAAGGACATGCCAATTTCATGTACAGTGACTAGTCCGCATTTGGGACAATTTAGTTTCATAATAAGCGTGGTTACTTCAAATTCATCACGGGTTTTCAAGAAATGCAGATTGATTAATGATTTAGGACAGTTTGATGGATGCCATTAACCTTTTATAAACATCTAAATATATATAGCAATTCCTGTTAACCTACCACTCGGTTTGTTTCTAACAGAGGACATTTGCATTCCTCGTCTGTGTTAAACACCAGGTCGAGGATTTTATGTAACGTACCAGTCATTGTAGTAGATGTAGTACATGGTAGATTTCTTTTGGTCGTTAAAAAAGTTACCGAATAGTTAATATCTATTCTAGATTCCAACACCAGTGTCATCAGTGTCTTCTTAGAAGTATATATTAATATAAATATATGATAGAAAATATCAGTGTTCGGTGAAATTATAAAAAATAAACTTGAAGAACACGTACATCTAAGCATTAGCGCTTTCACCCCCCCTCTCTCTCTCTCTCTCTCTCTCTCTATATATATATATATATATCTCCCCCCTCTCTCTCTCCCTCTCTCTCTCCCTTCTCTCTCCCCTTTCTCTCTCTCTCCCTCCCACCCTCTCTCCCCTCCCCCCTCTCTCTCTATATATATATCAATGTCTCATGTTCAAATAACCAGTATCAGGTAGGTTATCCCCTGTGTCTAGGTTATGACATGTTAGATCTAGCATTATATAGACGACCCTGATTATCCTTTTACCTACACACGTGGTGTGCCATGTAACTTTCCAAGTCTTGAAGACGTAATGTCACAAACCATGATTTATGTTTGATTTTTTTACAAACATTAAATTACATATACCTCAAAGGAGACATTGCCGAAAGTTCGTCCAGATGAATGAGTCGTGTGCTCTCACAGTTAGAACATACATGTCACGTACTTCCTACAATGTATACTTCCTCTGAGTTTTGAAACCAATTGAATCCTCATTATCACCGACATCACCAAATGCCATCAGTATATACAGACAATAATTGACAATTTATAGGTCGTTTTTCTGTTGGATATTTTACACGGCTCGGGTAAATGCTTCAAGACTATTTGGATGCCCGATGGATTTCTATCTTTTTTTTTCAATGTGCTCTAAAAGAGGCATTGTCATAAGAACTGTAGGCTAAATTCTTAAATTCCCTTAAAATATGTTCATATGTGAACTTCGTCCTAGAGGCATCATCGTTTATTGGAATCGTGTACTTTTTCGGGAGTTCTCTTGTTTTTACAAGGATATTCCAATCTCTGGCTAGATCAGGTCACGATCTTTATACTCGCTTTAGCATCTCAGGGTACAGCACTGCACTCCTGCCCCAACCCATCCCTCCTCTCCCCCTTGATGACATTTGGAGTTTAATATGGATCCATTTCTTTTAACATTCGCGCAAATAACAATATCTAAACTCATTTATTTATTTACCTTGTAAGTGATAGTTGTTCCTCGTAGTGATTTCTTCACCTTTTCTTGCTGATGTTGCAGAATTGATCATGCTTCAGCATTGGGATTCTGTCATGCAGGCCTAGGCATTTCAACAGTTGAAATATTACAACACTGACAACAGGGTAGTGATGATAAGTGTGACGTCTCTAACACAGTGTCAATACCAGAGGATAAAATGAAAGACAAATAAAACTGGAGCGAGGCCATCAAGTTGACTAATGAGAAAACAACTGAAGGATAGTCAGGTAAGTGGGCGTGAAGATGTCAAAACTGTTCATCAATAAGGTTACCATTAGATGCTGAAGACGTATATGATGTTTAAGTTTCAAATTGCAAGATCAGATTTAATCCCACCGAGACCGGTGTTCCTCGATCTTCGTACGATAGAGGGAAATCAGTCGTAATCTTATTTCAGTAAATATTTCCTACATATAACATCGACCATAAACGCACCAAGTTAATTCTCTTCAATTAACAAGATTGTAGTGTAAATGCAAGATAATAAAGTTACAACTAGAAATGTGTATAATAAAGCTTACAATTTTATGAGAAATTTACACATGAAATTTTTCAACTTTAATTATTTCAGTCTTAAATCTTATTACAATAATTGTATAATTTAGAATCATTTGGTACATGTGTCTTTTAACTTTCGTGATAATTTTGTATCGGGACAGCTTGGTTTGTGAGCGTAATGATTTCAATTTCCCTATTGTGAATTTTCCATTTCTGGATAGTATCTTTTTTATTGTATTACCCAACCTATGGTGTTAACATGCAGCAGTTAATTCGATATTCACGGTCCTATGTCCGATATTACAATTTTCAAAATGTCAACAACTGACAGACGAACTCATAAAACTATGATTCAAAAGATGCAGGTTGATGAAAATTATTGGGACGATTTACGGTCGTCATAGTGATCTCATTGAGAAATGTTCTATTTCTTTGTGTGATATTCGGGAAGATTTAAAATAGAGATGAGAAATGACTGTATGGTTTCAACATGTTTTGCACCCAAATCCATCAACTTTTATTATCATGTGAATATTTGGTCAATTCTGAGTGGTTTTTGCATTCTTCAGTAACAAATTCAATACCTCATTGTTCTTAAGATGTAACATTATGTTTGTTCAAAAGTGCCTTCCATAGTCTCAGTGGAACAACTACATGTATGTACGTATGAATTATATACTTAAATTGACTTACTATTCAAATTCCCTATGATTTATGCATCCATAGCCGAAACGACAGATAAACATCATTGAACAATAATTGATACAATGGGAGAATTAGTCCGAGTGATAAAATGGCACGTGTTTTAAAATCTGTAGTCTATAACTAGAAGGAAATCGCTGTTAACTTATCTGAATTTGTGCAATGGATATAATTATAGGAGGTATAATTACTTCACAATCCGTCTTTTATGTGTTACAACTAGAGAGACGTTTATTCCAAAGTCTCCCAGGTGTTTTTTTCTCTCAACCCTTGAATCATCATCTTCGCCACGCCATCTTGATCATCATTTAAACTAATTATCAGACAAATAGCTGCTTTTCTGGCAGACTATAAAATAAATACATCTTTGAGTAACTTTGATATGCTGTCGTTTAATGATCCCTACGTCTTCGGGATATGAGCCCGACTTACTTGCTGAATGCATTGGCTGCATGAAATATTAACGTCTGTTTGTTTAGATTGTCCTATATAACATGTTTCGTTGTAATTTTTTTTGTTGCCGATAAGTCAAAGTTTGGATGAAATAATGCGAAAAGCTATTTGATGAAAATAGATTGTGTCACTCAGCAACTGAGAGTCGCAGATGAAGAAGACACATTCGTAGGCTTTTGATTTTAATATTGCAAACTTGAGCAAGTCTATAGTCGATAATAGAGTAAGCTGACTAATCATACCGCCAATACATACAAAAATTAGAGTCTGAAAATGTTTATTGACGCTGTGGGGATTTGACGTAGATCTTATGGTGATTACTTGAAAATCGATAGTTCTGTGACAATATTACTGTCTTTCATTCACAGCTACATGAAACGATCACCACTTTAGGTTGCAAAATAGAAAAAAATAAGTAGGCCGCTACTGAAAGATATTAATAGTGTCAGGGAACGACCTTCACCTTTGCTTTTGTATACATCTGGGTTATACCAACATTTAGGTAATCATGGGATGTGTCTCCATAACACGTCTTAACTTGGATGTTATCGGTAGTATTTAAAAGCAATGAATCGTCAACATTTTAGTAGTAATGAGTAGCCACTTCAAAATTCACATTGAAAACGGCGGAAGATCAATCTCAATGTTATGATTGCACCAAACTTATTATTTATGTATCTGTGACACACCCTGATTTCCCGCTGTTGGAAGAGTTCATGTTCAGGTTTTTAGCAGCTGACGTCACGACATGTGAGCGGTAAATACGCACCTGAACTTTTTTCATATATCGCTCCGCAGTGATTAACTAATACTATATTCGTAGTTTTGTTGTGCATGGTTCACCAATAATGAGAAAAAGATAAGTATTGATAAAAATAACAAAATGGGCCAATGGATATTTTGTAATCCCCTCATATATCAGATTAAAATTTTTAAACTTCCGCTGATCAGAAAGTAGTGCGACAGACTTCTTCCGCCATTGTCGGCATAGTTGATGGACTGACGACTCGTTGTATTACAGATGTATATTTCTCGTGCTAATCTGGGAATTAATGTGCGGTTTGCTACACTGTCATATAACTTGATTATTTGGTGACTATATATTATTAATTTCACTGATAAATTGGACCACGAAAGGAGTACGCGTGATTATAATTCAGGTGTATAGTGAATATTGGCTGGAAGTTAAAGTCTGTTTCTGTAAACGAACTTACGGTTTTTCAAACTGCCAAGACATTTACACGTGTTATTTACAGTAAGTTTGTGTAACAATTCATTTAATTGTATAGTTGTGTCGATATGTGTAAGACTGTCTTCTTGAAATACATGAAAATTCGTTAGAAAATACCACATGTATTGTTCTGAAACTTTGCAATTGTACTTTCGTTTTGACGTTTCACATCAACGTACGTAGCTCTAAATTATATTGTATGTTATCGTCATTCATTTAAAAGAGGCATATTTATTGGAGAAATGTGGAAGAAATCGATCTATCGACGAAGAAACCGATTTTTTATGTGTTGAGGATTTTATAGACTATTTCAAAAAACTTGCAATACAAGTATAGGTTATTTCATATTTGTACAAGAAGCTCTGTTATACTCTGTTTCAATTAAGTTACTTTGTGCCAAATAGTGTGGAGATTTTTCAATGTTAATTGAAAAGAGTTCTTGAAGATAGGATTTCAATAGAACCGTGTGATCATTATTCAAATGCTTGATTCCACAGGAATTACACCAGCCAGGTCTTTTATGTCAGATATCTTTGCAAATATGTGGCTTTTTATGCTAAGCAGACTAGTAAGTTTTGGGGAAATTTTTTTTCTCTAGATATCCAAAGTAATTGCATTTTAAAACACATAAACTTGACAATACTTATTAGATAGGGAAGTGATGATGTCTATTTTTCTTTATTCAGGTGGTGTCTTCCACAGAGGAATGTGATGACCTGTTACTGATGGTCAGATGACAGAACGAATGTTTCCCCACTTTAGCCACTGTTTAATATAGCCATGAGCTTCAGCAGTGATGAAATTAACTTTCTTGTATATCGATATTTACAGGAATCAGGTAAATACAGTCACTATTATTTAAGGTTTATCAGAAAAATATTGTGTTTCCTGTTTTTTGATTGTCCCTAATTTTCACTGCCAACTCTAGGGTTTTGGACATAATTTAGAAAAAACATCTTGATTTTACCTTGTGTCAGTTAGCATTATTGTCAAAATATTTATGAGTTTTGTAATGCATTTTAAATAAAATGCATGATAGCCATCACATTAGGATCTCTAGTAATGGTCTTCACGTTTCAGAACAGTATATACAATCATACAAAAAATTTAATGGTAAAAATTCAACAAAAAGTATTATCATTTGTGTGTGAAGAAGCAGAATAAAAAACCCTTTTTTGTCATGAACATGTATCAAAAATAAAAACAAAAAATTTTATTTTGATTAAATATTTGGAAGTATTTAATACTTGCAGAATAACAACAAAATTGCATTTTGAAATGTGATGCATTGGCAAAGCAAGCATGTACTATTAGAGAGGTCAAATAACTGATCACTTAATGGGCTTATTTCCTTCCCTCTATCATCTGGTGCACATGTATCCATACTTTATGATAAACAGCTGGGGTGGTCCATAAAGCAATTTCATTGTCCATATATTGGCCTGTAGTTACAAGTTACTTGCATACGTTTTTTTATTTCAGACAGAGTTCATATTAAATTTAGGGTCTAAACTAAATGAAAAGTGTGTAAAAGAAAACCCTCTTCTCATTTCACCTAAATGTACCTTTACATGAGGTGATGAGGTCAGAGATACCCTATATGGTTTGTTTACTGTTTGATGGATCAACCAAAATTATGTGAAACTAGTATATATATGATTAAATTGAAATAAGATTTACTAAGGCGAGGAGGTACCAGTATGGCTGTTGATATCCTCGACACTCCAGGTGTTACGCTCGCTATCACTCTGTACCCCTGGACATTTCATGACAAAATTGAAGTTTCCATGTGCCACACCTTGTGGATAAACTGCAACACAAGTCACATGTATCTTCAAAGCCGCATTTGACTATGTTGTACTGGCTTTGAAATTGGGTGTCACTCCGTTTATGATTGGGCAGGTTTTTGACTACTGAAACCTGCTCTATACCATACAATTTTACTTGGCTTGTGTCTTCAATTTTGCCAGGAAATGTTCAATGGGTGCTGATAGTGATAATGAGCATAACCTCCGGAGTGTTGAGGATGGACAATTGGATTTTGAAAATTTGAAGATATAACATAGTATCAGTTTCCTCTTATTTTTATCAGTACAGTGAAGGGCAATATTAAACTGTAATTTTATGTGTGGCTGTAAAATGAATGAGAGGATGCAGGTCAAATTCATATTTTGTTGTAGGAAACATTTCCCAGGGTTTTGGCCCTTTGACGTTAACAATTTACTTTAGTATATGTTCATTTCTCAGTGTTGGATAGAGATATTGAACTGAAACTTAATATGAAGTCAGTTGCTTGTTATCCCCCTTGGTAATTCATGAATATGCTTCTCAAAAGCCAATACATCTATATCTGTTTGGAACTCGTGGTCAAGGATTCCAAAAACTAGAAAGATATAAAGAAAATTAAACCTTTGTAATCTGACATACATATACCACATCAATGAAAATTGACAGCGATCAGAACACTAGTCACAACTGTCACCATCTGGAAATAGACTTGGCTTCTCAAAAATGTAGAATTGGGGTGTTTGTTGCTAGTGAAATATTTACATAGATATTTGGTAAGCATTCTATTATATGGTGAATGGATTTTCATCTTTATTTGCCTTATTTTTCTGTTTTCAGTAGTCTTATAACAAGTTATTTTGTAATTGAATATACATATTGGAACCTCACTTTGTTGACACTTCAGGGACAAACATGCTCTTAAAATGTAAAATGTTACTGTTAAAATGTAAGCTTTTGGATGCACTTGTTCTGCAGTATTGCGCTGATGACTAATAATGAAAATTCTCAAGTGCAATAATGAAGAATGAGTCACTGTTTGAGTCCAGGATTAGTTTTGAAAAATGGATTTTGATGTAAAGATGTAAAAAAAAAATTCCTCCTATTTGAATTCATGATCTAGTGTTGTAGATCTTTGTGTTCATCATACTGGGATTTCACAATGATATCATATGTATCGTAAGGCAACATCTTTATTTCAATATTGAATTGAGCTGGTTGGCAATACACATGCTTATGGGATATATATTGTATATATGAGTACTCTGAAAATATGGATGAGAATGCTCCTGAATGAATATTTATACTTTTTATAACACTATGCTAAAATATGGTAATTGAATTCAAATGGAAATTAAATGTTACTTTAAAGTTGTCTGACATATTTACATATCAAGATACTGTGATAAAACATAATTGATCAAAAAGCCACAAAAAGAAAGTGATGATTTTTGATAAGTGATCTTGCATTGATTGTAATATTTTATTAGTATTTTTCTGTAAGAAATTAAAATATCACACTTCTTTTTAAAAGGAAATATCACAAAACTGCTTGTATGTATTAGATACACTCATCTTTTACCAAGGCATTCATGGTTTGATTCCCAGAATGAACATGAAAAGGGTCACCTGCCCAACCACATGGGTTTTCCATTAGTATTCAGGTTTCTTCCCAAAGTAAGACACCACACGTGATTCCATGTAGTGCAACAAGACACATTAATATAAGTTGAAAAAAACTTGTAAATCAAATTGGCTTTAATTAAATTGCTGTAAACTTGTGGCACTCTAGGCCTGTACATATACTTAATCTGGATGAAGTATGTCAGGATTTACACAGTCTTTCACCTGTAACATGTGTATTTAGACAGGGTCCCCTTGCGATCATAATTTATGTACATTTGTCAATCTGATAAAAATGTAGAAAAGCTTCAAACATTTAAATCAGATTAACTCAGTTTTGTTATGTAACTCAGGAAATTAGATTAAAAATAGGAAAATATTCAACAATTGGTATGTTAACTGGCTGAAATCTGCACAAACAAATGAAAAATATAAATACTTATTTACATAATGAAGGACACATTAACAACACTATAAGATTGTATCACAATGCAAGTATGTTCTGACATTTATTAATTGTACTCTTGTATGAACATTAAATGGGATCTATATACTTAATTTATTTTCCACACAACTTAAAACCTGTTTAAATATATGATTCAACATGCAAAATTTGCCACGCCACACCTGATAGTAGTTTTCTGAAACAGACTATAGGTTGCTTGGCAAGTCTCTTACATCATTGGAGATAAAAGTAGTTATACCAGGCCATACATACACCAGGAGCTGTGTTTATGCTATTAATCATTGGCACTATCTCTGAAACATCTAGACTGTCTGCCTTTATTGTTCTCTGCATGAATGACATTGCCTAGATATTTTTTAAACATTTAAAGCTTGAACATTAAATATTCTGTTTTATTACCAAGGTTCCAACATCAAGACTGTATTGAGTATAGCTTTGTTGTGCTCATGAAAAATGTATTCATTTATTCTGCATAGATAGAGATATTTTGTCCCTCAAAAATACTTAAAAAAGTTCCTTACATTTTTAAAGACACGATTCAAATTATATTGTGGCTTCTTATTGATGTTCCATTGTGTCCTTATATTTTGCTTGGCAAGTACTTGTAACATGCCAACACTACAGGAAGACACTTCTATTTTGCATTTTAAAAAACTACCATTTTTCGTACAAGTCTGTTGCACTTGCTTGATGGATGAAGTACGGATGTCGGTTAATAGATTTTTGAGGCACACAACAAACACACTTCATGTAGTCATGCATTTCTGACAAGGATTCCAATGTACATTACTTAACATACTTGGTGTCCCTGCATCTGAAATTCGCACTGTTTTCATTGTTTTATGTGTTTTAGAGCATGAAGTTGCTCTAAACTTTGACAAACTTGTCTGATGGTACCACACAACAGGCTTGTCTGACTGATGGTTACACACAACAAACTCGTCTGACTGATGGTACCACACAACAGGCTTGTCTGACTGGTGGTTACACACAACAAACTCGTCTGACTGATGGTACCACACAACAGGCTTGTCTGACTGATGGTTACACACAAACTCGTCTGACTGATGGTTACACACAACAAACTCGTCTGACTGATAGTTACACACAACAAAGACATCTGACTGATGGTTACACACAACAAAGACATCTGACTGATGGTTACACACAACAAACTCGTCTGACTGATGGTTACACACAACAAAGACGTCTGACTGATGGTTACACACAACAAAGACGTCTGACTGATGGTGACACACAACAAACTCGTCTGACTGATGGTTACACACAACAAACTCGTCTGACTGATAGTTACACACAACAAAGACATCTGACTGATGGTTACACACAACAAAGACATCTGACTGATGGTTACACACAACAAACTCGTCTGACTGATGGTTACACACAACAAAGACGTCTGACTGATGGTTACACACAACAAACTTGTCTGACTGATAGTTACACACAACAAACTCGTCTGACTGATGGTTACACACAACAAACTCGTCTGACTGATAGTTACACACAACAAAGACATCTGACTGATGGTTACAGACAACAAACTCGTCTGACTGATGGTTACACACAACAAAGACGTCTGACTGATGGTTACACACAACAAACTCGTCTGACTGATGGTTACACACAACAAAGACGTCTGACTGATGGTTACACACAACAAACTCGTCTGACTGATGGTTACACACAACAAACTCGTCTGACTGATGGTTACACACAACAAACTTGTCTGACTGATGGTTACACACAACAAACTCGTCTGACTGATGGTTACACACAACAAAGACATCTGACTGATGGTTACACACAACAAACTCGTCTGACTGATGGTTACACACAACAAAGACATCTGACTGATGGTTACACACAACAAACATGTCTGACTGATGATTACACACAACAAAGACGTCTGACTGATGGTTACACACAACAAAGACGTCTGA